GTCTCCTGGAGAGAAAAATATCTGGACTCTGAAAGAAATATGAGTCCTTTGGAGCCAGGAACATGTCTTAGCCTGCATTTTCTAAATCACTGTGCATATTATTGTGTGTTCATACACAACTATATATTAAAAGAAGCAGTTTTTTTCTGCTGGCTAAAGCAAGGGGCTAGGAGTTGAGTCTGGGGTTCTAATCTGCCACTGATTTGTTGGGTGACTGTAGCAGGGCTTACCTGGTCTGGTTGCTGCTTCATGTTCCCTTCTTCCCTAGTTAATAAAACTCACAAGCTGAGTGTTTCTCTCCCAGGCCTTCTGCCTAAGCACCTTAGAGAGTTACTCAGCCTGGGCCCCTTCTCTGGTCTTTTCCTGGCTATTCCCTGCTCTTGAATAGAGCACTCATGCTCAGGTCTGCTCTAACTGGAGTCTCTCCTCTGACTGACCCACAGACTGTCCTCCCAGCAGGCCCGGGTCTTAGTCACATGCTCCCCATTAAATGACACTTATACTCATTTGCTCCTCCTGGGGGAGAGGGGCTACAGCTGGCAAAGGTGAGGTTGACCCACAACCCCCTTGAAGGGCCAACTCTCTCTTTGACAATGACCTTGACCCACATACCACAGGATGAAATGGGCCCTAGCCATGCAGTGTGGGTCAAAATGTGGGGGTCGTTTGTGTCAGGTATTACTGTTTGGCTCCATCTCATACAGGAGTTCAGTGTAAGCCCCCTACCCCTCTCTCTGTCTGTGAATAGGTATGTTTTTGTCTTCTTCCTTGGGAGATGATAGCTAGGAAGCCAGCTGTTCTCCCTTGTCTTTTCTTTCTCTTTCTCTGTTTGGTGCCAATGGAAACAGTGTACAGTACCAAGCCCCAAACCATACATCTGCAGATTTGGGATTTCTGTCCATGTGCAGTTTGCATATCGTTCCCATAAATAGCATGGGGAGGAGTTAATGTGGCTCGCACTTGGCAGTGTGAATTATGGTGTTTACATGTGTTTTGAGATGCCCCCAGGTTTGCATGTATTTAAAGCAGCTACCTAGGATTAGGTAGCAGTAATTACAAATGGAAAAGTTCTATTAAATCATCCAGTCCCATCACTGCCCTGGCAGTTTAAAATCCACTAGCACAGGACATATCAGATCAGTAATGGGCTATTCCAGTTATGTCCCAGGACCAGCCCTGCCTGACCTCCCAGCAGGAAGAAAACCCCCTTATTTCCAGTCTGAATTTGTCTAGGTTTAAATTCCAGCCCTTGGATTACGTTATACCTTTCTTTGATAAATTGAAGAGGCCATTATTAAATATTTGTTCCCGATGTAGGTACTTACAGACTGTAATCAAGTCACCCCTTAACCTTCTCTTTAAGTTAAATAGATAGAGCTCTTTGAGTCTATTTCTATAAGGCAGGTTTTCTTAACCCTTCAATCATTCTCGTGGCTCTTCTCTGAACCTTCTCCAATTTACCGTCATCCTTCTTGAATTGTGGATACCACGTCAGATGCCTTAGAGAAGTCTGTCTATTTATATCAACGCTATTACCTTAATCAATCAAACCTTCAATCTCATCAGTAAAAACAGTTTAACAGAGGCGGCATGTCCCTGGGGGGGCTGCTGCTGCTGCTTCTGAGGGGAGAGTTTCAAAGTCAGCAACATTTTGGGAGCTCCAGTTCAGCCTGGTGAGCCTGTCAGGTGGTGAGCCTATCCCGCATCAGAGAGGTTTTGTGTGGATAAAAATACTTCTGAAGAGCTATTTTACCCTTTGTAATAGACAAGTTGGCACTGAATACCAAGTAGTTTCTAAACATGTTCCCATGGGATGATACCTCCTTCCATGATCTTCGCTTGCTAATTGAATAGTGGGCCATACTAATCAAATGAGCACAGTCTGTTTTCCAGGAACAGTTACAACCATTTTTGCTAGTGAACTTAATGTAACTTCCTTTGACAAGTACTGCTACTGCCTCCCTCCTTGATTATGGGTCTGAGAAAGCATTTTTGTTTAAATGGGCGGAGGAGGAGTAGATTCACCTCTCTGCAAGAACATATTCCCGTCTCCACCCCTGGAAACATGGAGTTTATCCCAAGCTGAAGGACGAGAGAAATGCAGGAGTTTCTTGTTAAAACATTGTCAACATATCACTGTCAGATATTAATCTCACACTTCACAAGATACACATGTGAGACGTGCCCGTTCTATGCATCGCTATCATGCACTTCCCTAACTCTCATGCTAGGTTACTCGGTTTTTGTAAGCCCCCCCTCCCCCTTTAGGGAGAAACTGAATGAAGCAACAGTAGCTTTCTTCTGCTTTGAAAACAGAGTATGTTCTTGGACGGTGTTGAGCCCCTGCAATCCAGGCACTGGGAGTCAGAACCTTTTCCAGAGCTGGATCACTCCGTTTTATGGGCTGCCAAATGTCTTTAAATGTTAAAAACTCCCAAGGAAAATGCATCGTGCAGAGCAAGGTACATACATAAGTGCGTTGCTCAGCTTGAGGCATCTCCCATTAACTTTCTGCAAATATTTTTTTTCCGTATTTTCCAAACTGTGGAATGATCAACATTTGCCTGAAGGCAAAGGGCACCCAGGGTGAAAAGCCAGGTAGTGTGATAGTGCCATTTATTTGTGGGGAGGGGGAAGCGTTGGCATTTCATCCCACTGAACTGGTCTGTCTCAGAGAGTTTGGATCACGTAGCAGCAGCAAGGATCTGTGCTGACATATTTTCGGTGAGCAAAGTAACACAAAGCTGCTCCTCTGAGCATGCCTTGGAGGGTCATATGAGCTGTGAAGAAAGGAAATAATTATGTAAAAGGGGGAATAAAAAGAAATCCATTCCCAGGGCAGAAGTCCCATGGACATGTAAAGCTTTCACAGCTAAACAGGAGCTGAAATCTTTGGTCACTCACCTGAAGAGATTGCGATTCCCCCTGACTTGCATAGTAATATGGAGTGTTGGGGTTTAGGGCAAGGGGGAAGAGAACACTGTAGTTTGGCATAAAGTTATTGCAATGAAATAAGCAACCCTACTGAGGGCACAAGGCTGGCAGGAGGGTCATTTCAACAGAGACTGCAATGGTTTGGGCAGTTTGTTCCTACATTTAGGTGCTTGTCTTAGTTTCAAAGGTGCTGAACTGCTGACTTCCAGGGGAGCTGCAGGTACTCGGAACCTTTGTAAATCAGGCCACTATTGTTTCCTAGCTATGCAGACAGCTCCCTTTTAACCCTATTCCCATTGGACCTCTGTGCTGTAGCGATATTCCTCTTGCGTACCAAGGAACACCCATGCTTCAAAGGAGACAGACTGGCTACACGTGTGGTAATTCTGCCTCTCAGACTTGGTTTCTAGGGCCTAATGTGGACCGAGTAGGTAAGTGGGACAAGAGCAAAGCAACTAAAATTAGAAGAGCAGCCAGCAAGTGGAGAACAAACCCTTTACTAGATCAGCTTTTTTACAGTCTGAAGTCATTCCCTCTTGGTCACTAGGTGACCTACCTCCTGCTCAGGAGTGAGATTTAAAGCCTTTGAAAATTCTGCTCAGATCAGGAAACTTTTTTATCCCACAAGCCCTTCAAATTCAAGGTCTGCTGGTGACTTTGTGACTGACCTTGGCGTCCCATCACCAGAGGAGGGAATCCCACACATTCTGGAATGGGACAGAAGCCTAGTGAGTGTTTGCTGTTTGTCTGTGGAAAAACATACCTGACACATAGCTCTAACAGTTCTGTAGAGACCTAGAGGGCCAAATGTGTAAAAATGGAGACCTGATCTCTGTGTGCAAGGAATGTAGAGTGAGAAAAGCCATTGATATTAACAGCACAAAACATGGATTAACCGAATGTCAAGGGGGAGCCTTGAGTAAGTTTGGTTAATTGAATAGTCAAGGATATTTTCAATGTCATAATGGATGGTCAGATCATTGTAACAAAGCCCAGGTGCTAGAGACAATAGAGTTATTATAGCCATGTCGATCCCAGGCTATTAGAGAGACAAGGTAGGCAGGGCCGTCCCTAGCTATTCTGGGGCCCTAAGCAGCCCCCACCCCCACGCAGAGGGGCAGGCCTCTGAGGGGGAGTGGGCCCCAGTCCTCCGTGGGGGAGGGGCTGGCTTGGGGGGGCAAGGGGGAACCACGCCCCAGCACTCACTGGCGGCACGGCTGGGGCCAGGTCTGCAATTCCCGCTGCTGGTGAGTGCAGGCCCGGCCATGCTGCCGAGCTCAGGGGGGTGGTGGTGGGCTGGGGCGGAGCAGGGGCGGGAAGAGGCGGGGAAGGGACAGGGCTGGGCAGAGGAGGACGGGGGCTTGGGGAAGAGCCGGAGCAGGGGCTGGAGCAGCACGCAGCTGCGCAGGGCACCAGGAAATTTGGTGCCCCAAATTTCCTAGTGCCCTACACAGCTGCGTAATTTGCGTATAGGTAAGGACGGCCCTGAAGGTAGGTGAGGTAATATCTCTCTCACCAACAGAAGTTGGTCCAGTAAAAGATGTTGCCTCACCCACCTTGTCTCTCTAGCGACAACAGTGCATTTATTATATAAAACACTTACACATGAGGAGCTAGGACAAACCCTTCAGCTCCAAAACCACAGGCCTCAACCACTTGAGCTAAAAGAAGCCCATCGGTAGCTAGGAGCAGTAGCAGGCCCCTTAACCTTCTGCGGCCCAGTTACCAGGAGGCAACATTCTTTGTTCACTCAGTCTCACGCACTGTCACATATCTCAGCATGACTCCGTCTAGGGTAAACTGAAGTTCAGATAATCAGGGCTGAGCTGTCAAAACTCTCATCCCAAATCCAGTTTTTTTTACCTGTTGAACTATCAGTCAGCTGCATTCGGCTAAAGAGGCAGACTTCGCTTTTGCAGGAGGAGTTTTATCAAGAGATAAAACAGGGAGCCTTCTGGCCCGCGTCCCAACATTCATGTCTAGGAAACTGTGGAGTACATTTTATCTCACCGTACAAGATAACAAACCAGCATTGACTGTAACGGGTCTCTTCACTCTCTGCACAGGCCCTTCATGCTTCTGCCCCCGCTGATGGAGTGGATGCGAGTGGCTATCACCTACGCTGAGCATCGGCGCAGTTTAACTGTGGACAGCGATGATATCAGGCAGACGGCCAGGCTGCTCTTACCAGGACTGGACTGCGAACCACGGCAGCTGAAGTATGTGGGCTTATCTTTACAGTCAGCTATAATAATCATAGCACTTTGCCCTTCTGTATCACCTTCCACTGGAGGATGATCTCAAAACACTTTATAAACATCACTGAATTTAGCCTCACAGCACTCCTGTGGGCTAAGGAAGTTTTAGCCTGATTTTACAGATCAGGCACAGAGAGATTGTGACTTGCCCTCTGTCATGCACACAGTTGCAGCTGAGACAGGCTGAGAATATAGGGAGACTGATTCCCAGGCCCCAGTGTTAACCACAAGATCATTCTTTGCCTCTTTAAATGCCCTGGGGAAGAGCCTAAATCTAAAGTCTTAGACTTAAAGAGAGCTTTCCTGTACACATAGATTGCTCATAATTTTACAGTAAGCTGGGGCTGCTAGTATTCATTTGTGTTTCATTCATTGTCTATGTTCTGCTAAGTTTACTGGTGTTAGCACTGATTTTGGTATTGTGCAACTGTTTTGTGGTTTCCCAGCCAGAAATGTACACATTAGTGCAAAGTGAATTTTTCCTCCTTAAATTAATCCCATTGCATTTAATTAATGATGACTTTGCGGTGGACACATAAATAATAATAAATGATATTTGTAACATACTTTGTAAGGAAAAAATGTACCGTTACTTTTAGGTCTTTTATGTGAAGGAGGGAAGTTGATCTAATGGTTGCAGCAAGGGGTTTTTAGTCAGGATTTCTGAGTTCTATTCTTAGCTTTTCTACTGATTTTCTGTGTGGCATAGGAGAAGTTACTTAACTTTCCTGTGCCTCAATATTTACCACCCTCAAAAGGTGTTGCAAAGCTGAAATAAACAATGTAAAAGGCTCTGAGGTTCTCAGATGGCACTGCAGAAGGGCAAGCTATCAGCATGCTCTCTTGCTAGTTTCAGGAGTTCTCCTTTCAATCTTAGTTTCATAGTTTTTTTTTCAGTCTTTCCTCTAGATTGAATGAACTGTTCAAAACACAGTCTGAAACTTCCCACTTCAAAGGTATCCTGTGCTGTTTTAATCTCCACAGGTTTTGTAAATCCAGTAGAGAGATATTGTATATAAAACACAAATGGCTCCTTAATTTCTAGGTTACATGTAGAAAAAAGAGGAAAGGGTTTTTCAGGTTCCGTTTCAGAAGTGTATTGATCTAAATTAAAGGGAAATTCATAGACAAAAACTTTGCTAAGGTAGAATTAAGGCTGAGAGTACATACCGATAAACTTCAGGTTAAAAACCTTACAGGGCCATTGTCATTACCAAACAAAGCCACCTTTAGAAACCCAGGCAATCTAGATATTCATATGAATGAATGGGGTGAGGGGGAGGAAAGAGGACAGGGATTCAGCCACAACATGTGGAATATACAGGAATTCAATTCTGTATTCTGATTGTTGAGAGGGGAGTTTCAAAACTGGCTCTTGGAAGGAGTCTGATGAAGGTTTCTATCCATGTTGTTCTGATTACAGGGGAAAAGAAAAAATCTGTAAGAAAAACCAGGTGCTTTTCCTTCCCACATCCATATATTTTCTCCCACCTTTCACCAAACCTCTCCAAGGATATACATGACATACATAAATCTTTCTATGCAACCAGTCAGCCTTTGCATCAAATAATGCACATCATGTTTGCAGCAGAGGGCAGAAATCGTAAGTCAGAATTGAGCTTCATAAGCTGTTTGTTCTGACCCTTCTTTTATAAGCTGTTATCCCAAAGGCCCTAAGTATTCCCCATGATGGGGTTTTTGGAGCTGGGAACATTGTCTATGCTACATGGGAAAAAATGTTGAAAAGAGGGAGGTGTCACTATTCTAAGGCCAGTGACATGACCGTGTCACTTACAGGAAGCAATTGTCTAGTGATTAGAGCAAGTGGCAGGGAGTCAGGACTCTTGGGTTCTATTCCCAGCTGTACCTCTGGCTCAATGCGTGACCTTAGGCAAATCACAACTGCTCTGTCCCTCAAAGTACGATGATAATTCCCACCTCGCAGAAGGATTCTGTCACTTGGAGGGGATTTGTGGATGAAAGGCAGTGGAGAAGGGCAAAAGTGCTGTTGTTATAATGACCTCTGTCCTGAAACTGTATATCTATCTATCTTCTGATAAAGATTCCTTAGACAAATAGTTCTCCATACCTGTTTGTTTGTGAGACAGTGACTATAAGATTTTCAATCCAGTGCTCTCCATGTATTATTTCAAAGTGATCTATAAACATCGTCACTCCTCACCCTGACCGTACCTGCTTAAATGGACACCATCAACTTAAAAACCACCCGGCTGTCTGAGATATCGTCACCTATTGTTTCAAGTCATAGCTAAGATCACTGTAACAGAGAGATGAGAGCCAAAGGTATTTCTCTATTTTTCTAGATGGCTCACTGGGTGTATTTGACAGCACTCTGTGTGTAGTCAGTTTCACTATTTCCGTGGTGTTGGTTAATGAGTTTCTCCTTGTTTTGCACACAGCACTTATTTTGAAACTAGGACAATGTGATTGTAGAGCCAAACAAATTAGCAGAGTAAGGTCGCAGCTCAAAGGCCAGTACGGCACTTGAAAATACATTTCACTCATTTTCTGAAATCCACTAGACTTCAAGTTGACAGAAGCTAATTGTTCTCAGGGGAACATAGGAATATAGTATCATAAAAACATTTATCATAGAAGCGTGGTCTGCTTGTCCATCTAATCACTTACCCTACCTCCAGAATTGACTGTTTATCCACTTATGGCCTCTAGCAGTGGTCATTGGTTCTTCGCCTGTTACCTTACCTCTGGCAGTAGCTATTGGCCTGTCTACTGCGCTCATCTTTGTCCAGTAACTGATGATTCAGAGAGCCCACTCCTCCATACATACCTTTTCACTGAACTGCCCTAATAACTACAAGCTCTAATATATGAAAAATCTCTCACAATAACAAAATCCCAAGATTATAATGTTACCTTCTTACTGAATTTTTCCTAGGAAATACTTAGACATTAGCTCCTTTCTGAAGGATGGTATTCTGCCCTGGGCATAGTTGCCACCTCTCTGGATAGCCCGTGGACACTTGCATAACCTGTGAAGCACCTGTCCCACTTGCTAGGGGCAGGAGATTTGAGGTGATTTTCAAGTGTAAGTCTCTGCATTGTGGGGTGAAGTTAGGACCCACTGAACCCATCTAGTCATAGCTGCAGTGTGGTTTTCTGTCCACAATGGGGAGAAACACAATTGTAGGTGGCACCTGTTCATCTGGGCCTGAGTTGAAGGCCTTGTCCCAGGCACTGCAAACCAACACTTGTAAAATGACAGGGGTCGCTGAAAAATGCTGTTGCAAGGCTTTGTACAGGCAATACAAGCACAAGGTGTTCCAACCAAGTGGGTGTTGTAACACGTTTTCACCTAGTGTAGGCAAGATCTTAGTAAGAACTAAACGGGCAACCTCTTGCAGTGTATTAGCCCAAGAAGCCATTCTGTGTGGCCTTGGGCAACCTCTTGAAGGTATCTAGTCTTAAACCAAAACAATCTTCCTACTTAGCTCCACTGGATAGAGGCTCACATTGGACTCTCACCTAGTGTTCCTCATGCTTGTAGATCACGAAAGTCCTCATTTGAGTTTTGGCTGTGGTGTTGTGCTGGACTCCCATGTACAGTCAGGCCAGTCACTGGACAGGTGAAGGACTTTGCTAACTGGACAAGTCTGTTGTGGCATCTGGCTGCCATTTGTCATCCGCCTGCAAAGACAAGAGCATGAAAAGTTACCAGATAAGTTTGAGGCCCTGAGTAAGTTTCATGCACAGCCTTCTAAGTAAAACCATATATGCATTACTTCTCTGGCAGCCCATGCAAACTTTCAAAAGAGGTTAAAATATGTTGAGGTAGTCTAATTTTTCAAAGGAAGTTGGCAGCCAAATACTGCAGTAGCTGGAAGTTTGCGCAAGAGCCCGTGTCAGGACACGCTGCCAGTGAAAAGGCAGCAAATGAAATCACACAATGTGGGTGACCATGTCAAGGTCCAGTTGAGATAGGAAATGCCTACAACCTGGTGATGTTTCTTCAGTGCACAAGAGAGGCTCCCAGGCTTGGAATTCAGATGTCTCTCAAAAGATAAGTTTGGAGACTTGCAATAATCTCCAGACTCCTTTATCTTGTTTAGAAGCAGATAGCTTGGTAGCTGTCAAGAGGATGAGAATGGGAGGATAGGAGCCTAATATAAATATAGGTCCCAGGAGTAAGTTTGATTTTATTGGGGTGGATCTGAGAATGGTCTGCCACCCAAAAGACAAGATATGGACAATCTTCATTATAATGCAGGGATGAAAAAAATGTGGGAGTAAGGTGATAAAAGGCAAAATCTTGAGAAGCAAAATCTTATTTGGGAATAATAGCCAGGCTCTTATGTAGATCCATAATGATTATTTAATCATGGAACTATATTTGTAATTTTTATTTCAACAGAGTTCTTCTCCCTCTTGTTCTCTGAATACGATTTCATATACATTTGATGCATTACAATTATATAACAAATAAACATTTCTGCAGGCAAAATAGAAAAACCCAAGAATGGAGTGTAAAGCCATGTGGAGAAGCAGTACTATAACTAATTGCTAATTTAAAACACAAACCCTCCTGAAATGATTGCTGCACTTTTTGCCCTTTGTCCTCAACAGGCCTGAATGCTGTTTTAGCTCCTTCCGAAGACTGGACGCTAAGGCTGCTACTGAAAAATTCCAGCAGGACCTGGGTTTCCGAATGTTAAATTGTGGAAGGACTGATCTGATCAACCAAGCTATAGAGGCGCTGGGACCTGATGGGGTTAACACAATGGATGATCAGGTATATGAGAAGACCCTGAGACAGTTTCCCTGCATGAGAAAATTAAATATTTTCTATAGAGGCAAATCAATGCATGATGACTCAGGTATTTTTTATCTAGCTGAGCTTTTCTCAAGTTCTAGCTTGGGTTAGCCTGTGAACTCTTTAAGAGAATTGTTTCTACATCGCTTGCTGAGCCCCTTCATTCCCTGGAATACTTTATGGCATGTCTCTGGCAGAAATGGGGGATAGATTAGTATTCAGGATATAGAATAGGAAAGCTAGATTTTGTCTTGCACCTAAATGTTTGCAAAATTAAGATCCCTACATGCTTGCTGCCAGTGGCTGTCACCTCTAATTCTTCAGTTGAAATTCAGGCCAGGTCAGTGAGTGACCAAAAGGTGTTACTATCTGATGGCTTTTGGGTGACCTGTATGAAGTGAGTTAGATGCTGCTGTTAGCTAGGGTGACCAGATAGCAAGTGTGAAAAATTGGGACAGGGTGTGGGAGGTAATAGGAGCCTATGTAAGAAAATATCGGGACTGTCCCAATAAAATCGGGACATCTGGTCACCCTACTCTTAGCCCAGTTCCCAGTGGACATGCAAAAAGCCCCAGTTTGAACTCTCTACAGAGAACTCAACAGGCAGATGACTTCTCTACCCTTTCACTTCTGAAGTGGTCTCTTCAGATCTGAGTTGAGGCACATGAGCCAAATAGCCTGGAATTGCCCATGCTGACTGAAGTGGGTTGTAGCCCACGAAAGCTTATGCTCTAATAAATTTGTTAGTCTCTAAGGTGCCACAAGTACTCCTGTTCTTCTTACAGATACAGACTAACACGGCTGCTACTCTGAAATCTGTCCCAATGATTAACCGTGGACTTCCGTACAGTGCACCTTTCCTTGCACTGAATTTACGTTGAATTAAAATATTACTTTGAGATATCTATAGTGCTGCACATTATTGCAGGCTTGTAGACTATATTTAAATAGACCCACCTTCACAAATGCACATACACCTATTGCTTCTGCACAAAAAATAAAATTGCTTGTTTACAGGCATTGTCCATGCAAGGTGGTTGTGCACAGGTGAGTTATTAGATGAACAATGACCTGATTTACATAGGGGCAACAGCACACATTTGTGGGGCACCTTGGAGGAAGACTAGCACCACTTTTAAAACAATACAGATGGCTCCAGTCTGTTTTGTTTCATGAAAATCTGCCACTTGGGATTTTTTTCCCCTCACATTTTTGTGGTTTCAGGATATAAAGCCCAGAGGACTTTTGTTCTTTCAAAACAGATCTTTGATATTTTTTGCCTCTGATGCTTTGTTCGGTGACCTGCTGATTTATTTATCCTCACACCAAAGAAATCACAGCCCAGAGCCCGTTGCTCTTGACTGAGGGGTTTTTTCCCTTCAGCCAGACAGAGGGTGGGGGGTTGTTTTTCAGGCAAACTCTGCACTTTGATGGGTTTTGCTGACAGCACAAGTTAAGAGGTTTAAGACTTTGTAAACAGTTGATAGCATAGTCTCATTATCACCCAATTGATGTCATATTGTAGCCAATCCTATTGGAGGATTTCACTGAACTAGTGTTAAGTATCGCTGTACTGGTGCTTACTTTGTGCCTCCTCAACAGAGGACACCGCTTCCAAATTTACAGCCCAGCATCCTGGCATCTTATTGACTAACGAGGCTTGGAGGAGGATGTCTAGGGAGACATTGTTGTTCTGTGATTAGCCACTTGTATCACTGTGAAACACTGGTTTCAGAGTAGCAGCCGTGTTAGTCTGTATTCGCAAAAAGAACAGGAGTACTTGTGGCACCTTAGAGACTAACAAGTACTCCTGTTCTTTTTGTGAAACAATGCGAGACCCTTCTTCTCTTCTCTGAGTCCTGGGGGCTGAGCATGCTTCCTCTGCTGCATTACCAACTAAGGATGGGGTTAAATCAAAACCCTAGATGTCAACTCTACCATATGTGGGATCTGGATCCAGATCTGAACTTTGCAGCTGGCACCTGTTTCTGTAATGGGATGTACCAGAGCCAGCCTGCCTACGGAAAACTGACTTAAGGCCTGGAAACAGAACCCAGGTCTATTGGACAGCAGGGTGGAGTACTAACCAGAGGGACAGCTAGCCAGCCCAGCTGATATATTCATATTAGACTTACCCTGGCTAAAGGGAATCATTCTTAAAATGCTACACAGTAGGCAGGAATCTGAGTCATTTTCAGGCAGGTATGACTGCCCCACTCGTGGCAAGCAGAGCTGGACAAAACTTTCCTGGTAAAGGCCACCCAATCCGATGGAAGTGAGACAGCTGCTGGCTCCACCATTCAGAACCAGGTTCAGATTTTGAAATTGTTTGTTCAGACCCAGCTCTAGTCATAGCCCCAATACTCAGAGTAGGGTTACTGAGGTTTGAGCTTGGGGCAAGGTCTTGGGCTGATTTATGGTTTCCAATGGATGCCATTCGTTACTCATTGGTTTCATATGGTTTTGTGGGGAAAAAATAAAACTCAGAGGTTTGGGGTGAGTTTCCTTTTGAGTTCTTGGTTTTTATCTGAACCTGAAATACAGATTAAAAATTGTGGGGAGGGGAGTGCAAACCCCCATGAATCAACTGGAAAGATGGGGTTGTACAAACACCTTAGAATTGAACGCCTGAGTTTGGCAGGGCTCTAGTTACAAATAGAGATGGCCCAGAACTTAAACCACAGCTCTAACTCTGAATCCACAGCTGAATTTCCTACCCTTGTAATGGGCCTGCATCAAAGCCAAACCCAAGCTCCAAGCATTCCCAGAGAAGGCAGTTCCAGCTCCAGATCAGAACTGTCCCAGATTTGGGGGCATTCAGATTCTGGCCTTTTCCAAGAGAAGCTTGAGCAGCATGTGTGGAATCCAAACTCCGCACCTGGCATTTGGAGCCAGGGTTTGATTCAGGCCCCTTTGTGTGGGGATGAGGCTGGATTATTGTTTGATTAATGCAGAGATGCCCCCTGCGAAAAATTCAGTCAAATAAAATTTAAAAAGCCCAGAGAATGAAAAGTGAAAAAACCTGAGATGTGAGCTTTAATTTATTTCATCATGAAAGCATTTTGGCCATTAGCATCTTGGGCTTGGCTATTTTTGGAGTGATTTGTTTGTAAATAGGGCCAGTCTAGCTCATGAGTAATCTCTGGCTGGTCATTGTTTAAACAGAGAGAAAGCAAGAGAGAGAGATTTATGGGTAGAAATGTTCTGTCAGTGCTGAAATGCTTTAACAAATATTGTTTTACCAATGGAGATCGTGTTTGCCAAGTAAACACCTCTGTGTTTGTTTCTTCTAATTTCTGCTTAAGTTCCCCTGGCCAAGGAGGATGCAAGGAGCTCTGTTCCTTTCCTGCAGCCGTAGGAAAGGGGCTGCCTCTAAAACATGACTCAATGCAAAGATTAGGATTTTAAATAACCCATTTAAAATTATTGCTAGCGCATCTGCTATTTATTCGATGTAGGTCACGTCACATTCCTATTTTAATGTCTTGATTTCCCTCACAGCACGCAGAAATCACAAACGCATATGCATCCCCCGTGCACATGCACACACATTGTACATCACACACTGCACATATACATACAGTGCAGACCCAGTCCCATCGGCCCCTTTGGCAGATGGATTCTCTGATGTTAGACATGTAGATAAAGGCTAACTGTTGCTGACTTTTCTTCCTGAAGGGTATGACCCCACTAATGTACGCCTGTGCTGCTGGAGACGAAGCCATGGTCCAGATGCTGATTGATGCTGGAGCAAATTTGGATATACCAGTAAGTAAGGGTCAAACCCAGGAAAACTGCTCATCTCTGACTTGTAAATAAGCAGGATCAGTTATGAAATCTCTCCTGGCAACCGAAAGCTCCAGCTTGTGGAGTTTGTACACCAGACCCACGGAAGGGCCTTCCTTTCAGAGCTCATTGTTTCAAGGTTTGGGGAGAAATAAAGTCCAAAGCCCCTTGGAGCACTTGGTGGCTGAAATAATGGTTGACATAGGGAGCAAATAAGGTCTCCTTTTGGAAAGAGCAGCCACTAAGGGACATCAATAGGCACATTAGAGAAGCCTAGGATTAGCACTGGCAGCACTCTCTGAATGGTGTCAGTCCGTCACTACCAGGGGTTGTTATTCCCCAGGGAAATGCCAGTTACAGTAGAGTCTGAAGAATATGGGAGAGAGACAGAGATTGCAATGGTCAATAACTGAGCTTTTCGTGTTCCCAGGTTCCTGGCAGCAATCCCCGATACCCCTCAGTCCATCCCGACAGCCGGCACTGGACTGCGCTCACCTTTGCTGTTCTACATGGACACATCTCCGTAGTTCAGGTAAGCAAAGGGGAGGGAGACACAGTTGTCACGAATCCTTAAAATAGGAGAGCCTAAAAAGAGAGCCAGGACCTGCTAGCTTTTAAAACCAGCTCAGACCCGGGTTCCCTTTGTGGCTGTGGTCTACAAGTTTTTTTTAAAATCACTGATTATCCGTGTACCTGTAAAATGAGGGGAATGTGACTTGCCTTTTCAGAGTGCTTGGGGGTTGATTCGTTAAGCTCTGGAAAGGCTTTGACAATGAAACATCCTACAAATTCTGATTCTTTTTTCTAATTACTATTTCTATATTAATTTATTATGTTTTTCTGGACTCAGAACAATGTGGATCAGCCACTAACTATGGTGTCTGGTGAACTGGTGCTTTCAGGGGAGTGTGTGAAAGTATGGGCAGAGTGCTTGGGCAGCATGTTTCTTGAAAATATTAGCTATGGCCTGAATACTTGTTATAGGTGCAAAAATCGAGTTGCCGGTCCATTCCTTCTTAAAAGCCTGCTCCTGAGAGAAGCAGAGCACCCTGTGCTCCCTTTACATGCCCTGCAAGTTGCATGTTCCAGCCCTAAAAGCAGTGACTCTCCTAGAATAGGTTCTGAATGTATCATCAGTGGGAGTGCTGCTACTTCCAGCCACTCCTTTGCTCACTAGGTACATTTGGATTCCCTTCCTGCAAGCTCTGTGCATGCTCATTGCTAGCCTTTCTGCTGAATTCACACAGAGGGCATGCAGAATTGGATGCCATGGGTGCCTTGTGGAGCCCTCCAATGTACCCACCCTCTCTCTCTAACTTCACGGTGAGTTCAAAAGTGATCCACAGGAGGTTTTCCGCTGCTGGTGAGGCAATAAGCAATTTCTATTCAGCTCTCAAGGAAGACACAACTATAAGCTAATGTGGGGGGGTTTCGTATTTGGTTTTACAAATGTATGCAAATGTTAATGCAAATTAGATCCATCCTTCATGTCCTTGGCAAGTTGCCAGTGCACTCTTTGGCATTTCAAAGGTTGTACAATTTTAATTTACATGTGATGCTCTCAGGAGACAGTGCTGAGAATTACATCAACAAGGCTCCTTAGACTGAACTTAGCCTTCTGCTCCTCTGGGCCGTATTATGTTGCCTGCAGCGAGTGTTTATTCACTTAGATGTTTTAAACTTCCAAATCTAATGTCAAAACCTTCCCTACAATGATCATCACTGAAAGAGTCCTATCTCCGCTTTCTCTGAACGTAGTGAAGCCCAGTGGAATTGCCTCTTTCTTGATATCCATGACTGGATTTGCCAGATCTAGCTTCTCCATCAAGGGAGAAATAAATTAGTTAGTAGAAAAAATCATTGTCCTCCACCAGCAATATTATGCTGAAAATGTAAATGTGAAATTACCAGGCACAATCATGCTTCCAGTCTGTGCTGAGGCAGGTGACGTAATAAATTGGTGACCACCTAGGGCTCAATGATTGTCATTGTGCTGCATACTATGGCTGCTCAGAAATGCATGCTGTAGCACCAGCATGAATAGAACCCAGATCCTCCTGCCCCAAAAGCACAGGTTCTTGCCATATGAATTAAAAGGAGACTCTCCATCAACTACCAGCAGTATAAGGCTTATGACATATAGCTTATGACAACTACCAGCAGTATAAGGCTTATGATTCTGACTCTGTCCAGTAGCGGAACAGTGGTTATCCCAGAAGGAAGAATCCCAACTAGCTGCCTTCTGTGGCTATGCATGGTCAATGTGGTGTCTGCCCCTGCCTGGAAATATGAATGTTCAAATCTGCTTTGTTATTCTTATAAATGAAGGGTGGTTCTTCAAGTGCCGCTCCCTATATGTATTTCCCATGTGGGTCTGCATGTGCACCACGTGCCCGAGTCTGGCAATTCTAACAAGTAGTGTCCATTGGCCTGCACTTGCACACTAGTTCACCTCATGCTTAAGACCAAGGCCATGTGCAGGCCATCACCTCTCCAGTTCCTTCTTACCGCCACATGGCCTGCGTCAGAATCCCTGTGTCCACCGATTTCTCCAGCTTTTATCCTTCTTCTCTAAGTACATTTGTAAATAGTTTATATTAGCATAGTTAGAGCTTTTGGTATAGTTAGGCTTTCCCTCCCTATAATGGGGACTCCCTCTCCACGGTCTGGCACTATGCCCAGAGTCCCAGCATTCAAGAACAGTGTCTCCTGCCCTCACTCCTTCACCATGAGTGATGATCACCAACACTGTCTCTACTGTTTGGGTGAGATGCATGTTGCTGCAAAGTGCAGCATCTGTTGCTCTTTTCTGCCATGAACCCGTAAAGCTCATGAGCATCCTAAATTTCTCCCCAAGGTTATTTCAGATTTTCATGTCAACCAAGCTATCCACCTATCTGTTTTTTTTCCCCCAAAACCCCATACCTCAGTTGAGGAGAGGAAGCTGCCTTCCCTCAACGTCAGATGCACCTTGGCATTCTATCTGCCGAGGACTAAATCTATCAGAAAGTCTCCTAGGCTGTTTCTTGCCATAGCTTAGAGTTTGTAAGGACAAGCTACACCCTCTCACAGGATCTCTAAATGGATTTCTGGGTGCATCATCACGTGCTACCAATTAGTGCACATCTCCCCACCTGACGGGGTAAGGGCATACTCCACCAGAGCACAAACTGCCTCTACAGCATCAGTGCACGAAATACCATTACTGGACATATGCAGGCTGCTATCTGGAATTCCATTCACACCTTCACTAAACACTACACGCTAGTTTAAGCCTCCAATGCAGACCCAGTAGTGGGAACTGCAATAATTCAAGCATCTGTCTTGCACCCCCACTCCAGTCTGAGTACTGCTTGTCAATCACCCACATGTGGAATACAGATAGGGACCAGCACTCGAAAAAGAAATGGAGGTTACTTACCAGCAACTGGAAATTCTTTGAGATGCGTGGTCCCTATCTGCCCTCCATCCCCTCTGCTTTGGATCTTACTAGATTTGCGGTATGAGGAGGAACTGGAGAGGCATCGGACCACACTGCCTCCTATGTCCTCAGTCTGGAGCCCAAGGTGAATGACTGCGCCTGTGCAGGCCAATGCTTGTTAGAATTTACACGCATGTGCACCACGTGTCAAATGCAGCTAGGGGCCACACATCTCAAAGAACTTCCAGTTACAGCTAAGTAACCTCCATTTCCTGCCAGTTGACCCCGCTCTGCATGATGGTGTCAATGTGACTTTGATACTTTTTGCTACTTCAAATGTTTGAAAAGGATATTGTCCCCACTCCTTCATGGCCAGTTACTGCTGGGTTAGCGCCAGTCTGCCTGCAAAGAGTTCCCCCAGGGTTTGGGCTGGTGAACTCCTGGCCAAAGTAAAGACACAGTCTCCTCATCCAGAATCTTCAGGGCCTGAGGTTCTGGCAGAGCAGTTCGGCCTATTGTGGCAAATTCTGTTAGACATCTTGTCTGCTTCCTGCACAGCATGTAACCAAATGGCAGGGACTTCCCACACTGCAGAAGCATCTAACCCTTTTGAATCTGGAGAACAGATGAACATGTGCCCATTGGGATACAATAAATAGCAGCCTTTAGTCTCCTGTCCACCTGATACCTTCCACCAGAACTAGACTGACTATAACAAACAAACAAAAAAAGTACAGTAAAGAGAGAAGAAATAAATCCCTAAAGAGATGTTAGCCATGAGTCCCTAGGCTTCAGTCCCAGACTCAAGCACCAAACAGATGCATGTGAGAGGTGAGTGTGCCTTGCGATGGATATTTTTCCTTTAGTTTTTGCTGAGCTCCCTTTGTGTTTTTCACCCTTTGCTATGGACCTAATGGGTTTCCCTTCCAACACACAGGCTCTTCTGTTGTGTCTTTCTGAATTGCTCTGTTCTGAACTTCTTGTCTCTGATTGGTCTTTTGCAGCTGCTCTTGGATGCTGGTGCCCATGTTGAGGGCTCCGCCGTTAACAGTGGTGAAGACAACTATGCTGAGACCCCACTTCAACTGGCTTCAGCAGCAGGTGAGTCAAAGACGCTTACGTTCTTGCTCCCAAGATCACGGGAAAACTATGGCAGAAGTATAGCTATGGGTCAGATGTTTAGATTTTAGTTACATGAGTTGGGATTTACTTTGCATTGTACTTTAAGCCAATTAACAATGAAAGATATAATGAAAATTTCAAACTGGTGGAGGACTAGGTAGCTTCAGGGGTTAGATAATGGGATATAGTACTTTTTTTATGCCTAAATCACTAGTGGACGCCTAGCCCAGGTTAGCAGTATCTGAGAGCTGTTACCATCTGCTGTTTGGTGACCAACCTGAAATGTGCTGCTGTGAATCAGCTCAGTCCACATTTACCACTGCCACTAATTATCACTTCCTGCCAACAGCCTCAGCAGGGAAGCCAAGTGCTGAGTGGGACTGCAGTGTGCTTTCACTCTTAGAGCATGCATGGGGCAGCGTTGGGAAAGTTAGGCTGCCACTGTCCATCCTCTGCCTCTCCTGGAGCTGAACAGCCTCCACGGCTGTCAGACTAGTACCTTTCATCAGCCCGAGTCACACTGGGAAAAAACATCTGAGGTTGTACAAAGATCTGTGTTTTATCTCATTTGTTTAAAAAAGAAACAAAATTTTGGGCCTGTTCTCCAAGCAGGTGCCACATCAGGGGTTTACATGGCATGTAAGGACTTACCTGTGCCAGCCCAAAGATCATTATTCTTCTCCATCACCTGCAGCCTACTATTTTGGTTTCCCTCTGTTCTTTCTCCATCATTTGAAGCTTGATTATTACGGGATGGATTCTCTCGTTTGTTCTTTTTGTGCCATCCCAATGGCATAAAGGGAGCAGAAGGTCGTCCCCAAAGCTGTTGTAGCTGGCTCTCCCACCACCACTCCCTGCAGCCTCTGGCAGTGGGGTGGAGGGTGGCTGGAATGCATGTTGTTCCAGTTATCCACGGCTGCAGGATGACCCCTTGGGGGGGCCATAGCCAGCTAGCACAGTTTAGAGCAGCCCCTAGATTCTCTTTTGGACCCCCTTTTAGCTACACTCAGCAGGAGCTGACAGCTGAGAATCTGGCCCATATTGAAGCCAGATACATGTACATCTGCTTGTAGTGTAGTTTGACTTCAAGATGTTGAAACACATGAGGGAAATGTAACTTTTTAAAAAAATAGTAAAATATACCTCTTTCTCCCCTCCCTCCCCCTTTATATATAAAGATGTGCCTGTGCTTTAAATAGAATACAGGACTGGGTGCCAGAACTCCTGGGTTCTCTTCTGAGCTGTGCCTCTAACTAGTTGTGTGGCACTGGGCAACTTAGCCTCTTTGTGTCTGTTTCCTCCATCTGTAAAATGGGGGTGGTAATATTTGTCTCCCTCTCAGGGGTGTTGTGAGGCCTAATTTAACGCTTGTGGGGTGTTATAGAAGTGCCCAGGACAAGTACTCTATGCCTTTTAAAGGATGCTGGAAAACGGAATTATTGTTACTTTTCTGCCAATTCTTAGGGAACTACGAGCTGGTCAGTTTGTTACTGAGCAGGGGCGCAGACCCCCTCCTGAGTATGCTGGAAGTCAATGGGATGTCCTCATCGCTTCACGAAGACATGAACTGCTTTAGTCACTCAGCCGCACATGGGCACAGGTAAACCTCTGTTCAAGCTCAGCCTTAAAATGAAGACCCTCTCAGTGCGGGGATTCACATACAATTGTTGTACAGGTTCACTGAGGTCTTTTGCCTGAGAACAATGTTGTAGGCTACCCCCATCGCACACAGGCTGTAGCGTGGCTTTACACTACAGTTCCCAGACCAAAAATCCCGATCCACACCGGTCTAGGAAGTGTTGCTAGAACCCTCCCGGCTATAGCCATGTTTTAATGCAGTAGAGTTGCTAGCATTATTCTGACTCTAGTGTGGCCAGACCCTGCATTTACTTTTGAAGGGATGCATTGGAAAGTAATTATCACTTTAAGTGGGTCTATTCCCAAAATAACTGTGTAAAACTGGCACCTTCTTATTCAACAGATGCAATCCCTCTGGGTTTGCAGATCTATATTTTAGTCACTGAAGTCAGCAAATAAGTTTCTTCTGCTTTTTTCACACCTGTTAGTAGCACTACAGAGCCACCACAGCTAGGAGAGAAGGAGCTGGATTTGTTTCTGGGTCAGGAAGCAACATCAGAATTGTTAAGTTCCAACTGCAGGGCACAATTCCGAAGATGTGGGTTGCATGTGTATACTGGAGGCAGAATTTAATGGCAATGGGGTTGCCGAGGTGTAACCTGAGGCAGAATTAGATCTGCAGAAACTTTAATACAGATGATGTGTGAATCAGGAAAAAAAACAGCTTGGCTCTTCCATCCCAGGCGGTGTTTGCAGGGTTGGTATTTAGAAATAACATTTTATTATCTGTAAACTGATCCGGAAATCATTCTAGCCCAGTCTTCATCAGAGAAATTAGCATTGGTGTAACCACATTGATATAGTTATACCAATTCCAAACCCGTAACCTAGATGTACTGCAGCAGTGTACAACTGGGCTTAGATCAATGCAGCACATGCTGGTAATTTACTAGATTGAATCACAACAATGTAAACCCCACTTTATATTGGTGCAGCACGTCTGCATTAAGGCTTGGCTCCCCAGGAACTATAGTGATGTAGTTTTACTGGCAAACATTTTCCTAGTGCTACTTTCCATGACCCAAGAGCATGTGAAATGTTGCACCTTATCTTTTCAGTGTTAACATCCTTGATTGTGCAATGTCTTATGGTAAAGCATCTGATGGGTTAATTGTGCCACAGTAAGAGTCCTCTTTCTATAACATGTTCTGATTGTGCAAATAATGAAGTTAAGCTTCCTATTTCTGGATGATTTTTGTGGGAGGGTGATCAGAAGGCATGAGATTATGTAGTATCAATTCATGCAGAAAGGGTAAAATCCAGTTCTTTATGCACTGAGAGCGCCAGCTAGTGGCAATTCAGCACAACATCTTATGTTGGCTTGATTGTCTTGGATAGCCAACATCTGTCCCTTAAGGCTTCTCAGATCTGTAGGAAAACCAAGGACCCAGGCATTCTAAAGGGGACCCTCGGGTGTTAGACAGAGGCAAGCCATTGCTAGTGATTGCTGGTCTGCCAGCCACACAAAGTAAACACTCGTGGGATTTGATGAAACCAGTCCTGACTAAACTGCCATAATAATGTTTAAAGACCCAATCATTAGAGGAGCCAACTTCATTTCTGAGGGGAGGAGGAAGGCATAGGTAATAAAAATAATAATAATATATGGAGATATACCTATCTCATAGAACTGGAAGGGACCCCGAAAGCTCATCGAGTCCAGCCCCCTGCCTTCACTAGCAGGACCAAATACTGATTTTTGCCCCAGATCCTTAAGTGGTCCCCTCAAGGATTGAACTCACAACCCTGGGTTTAGCAGACCAATGCTCAAACCACTAAGCTATCCCTCCCCCTGTGCTGAAACTAGGGGGGGCAGGGGGTGCTGCAGTATGCCCTGGCTTGAAGTGGTTTCCATTATATACAGGGTTTACAGTTTGGTTCACTGGGTCTCGGCACCCCCACTATAAAAATTGTTCCAGCACCGCTCGAGGAAGGGTTCATCTCTGGAAAGAAATGAGTCACTAAGTCAGGCTTCCAGGACTTCTGGGCCCAAATCACCCTGCCTGGCCTGTCTGGTTTGCGGGCCTTTCATTTATTAAAGAGCAATTCCTCTTCTTTTTCCTCCGCAGAAACGTGCTACGCAAGCTCCTGACCCAGCCCCAGCAGTCGAAGGGAGATGTTCTCTCGCTGGAGGAGATTTTAGCTGAGGGAGTAGAGAGTGACACCTCCAGCCAGGACAGCTCCAACGAGGGGCAGGTCAGGCTGTGTAAAACCAGGATGAAGGCCCTGCAGGAGGCTATGTATTACAGTGCTGAGCATGGCTACGTGGACATCACCATGGAGCTCAGGGTACTCGGTAAGGCAGGTTCAAAGTAGCTAGAACCTAATAACCTATCTCTGTGAGAGCGGGGATTACAGGTCACTAGGAGAAGGGCCTGCACCATCAAATTCAGACCTGACACACATTGAGGGGAGCTTAGGGTAGTCTCTAATTTAAATAGAAAATGACATCAAACTGTTTACTGATCACTCAGCTGCATATTCTAAAGGACCCACTGATTTAGGATGCCCCAATTTCTGGAACAGCCTGGGACCTGAGGATCAGAGCAGCTGAGCCCTTCACTCCACTGCATTTGAAGTCAGTCTGAGTTGTGAGTGCTCAGCACATCTGAAAACTCAGGCCCCTCTGAAGTGTTTCAAGTTGAGCTCTCAAAACCAGAGACAGCTAATGCCCAGGCATAGGATTTGAGGACCCAGAGTGCACCTATTCTTACACCTGTAAGTAGTCGACTGAAGACTTTGAAATGTGCATGTCTAGATAAGATAGCTCATCAGAACAAGCGAGCCGCAATACTGAATTATAGCAATCACAGTGGGTTTATATAAGATTAGCTGCACCATTACAGCATAGGGAATAGCCAATCTGCAGAATTTAGATTGCTTCGCTATGCTTGCGGAGAAAAACAGTGCATGAAATGAAGGTTAAAAGAGTAGCAGGCTTGGCAAGAACCAGGAACTCCTGAGTTCTAATCTTTAGTCCTGACACTAATTTTCTCTGTGACCATGGGCAAGTCACTTCACTTTCCTGTGACTCAGTTTTCTCACTTTTAAAATGGGGATAGTGGTACAGTTGCGTAAAGTGTAGAGCACTTTCAAAATAAAAAGAGCCACTTAAATGCTGATGATGATGATTACAACAAGAGAAGAAATACCCTCTTGCCTGCTATTTCAGCCCCTCAGTTTCCCTTGTGTCTGGTTACAGGAATCCCGTGGAAGCTTCATGTGTGGATTGAGTCATTACGGACAACCTTCTACCAGTCTCGCTATTCCGTCGTGCAGAACCTCTTAAGGGAGTTTGTGACTATTAAGGAGGAGGACTATAACGAAGAGCTGGTTAACGAAGGGCTGCAGCTAATGTTTGATATCCTCAAGACCAGCAAAGTAATCATTCATTTTTTAACAATATGAAGTTCAAATCCTTTCAGGCAGGAGTTTCACAATTATTTGGTTAGTGTTTGTACTAGAAGCAATGTAAACCTGTGTCAGGGTCCCAATGAATTATGGATGTACAGACAGCCATGGCTGTGTTTACCCAAGCTCATGTAATATTGCACTACCAGGGATCAAGACAGAAGGGATCAAATACTTGCTTCCTCCATGTCAAAGATGCTCATTTTAATGGAAATGGAAATCCTTGTATAAACCCCACTGTCGTGATTGGCTTCTGGAACTGAGTGCATTTACAGTAGTGAAAGGGATTACCTGCAAAGTACTGGGGAACTCAGGCTGTCAGTAGCATGTCATCTACCTTCGTGGAATTTTCTGAACAATATTATTAGCTGTTAGTGAATAGCAATCTTTTTTTTCTTTCTTTCTTTTGAAAGTTGGCCTGACTACGCTTCCATTGAATTCAATGGTAGTTTTTGCATTGATTTCAGTGGGAGTAAGATCAAGTCCTATATCGTTGTAGACTCTACCTGGAGATAGCAGGGAGAGGGAGTGGCTGCTTAAAAACTAATGCAAAATTTGAACTTTAAAATAGTGCAGTGCCGAGCAACAAACGGATACATTAGGAACAGTGTTTCCTGATGATAAGCCATGCTGTGGACTTTGTTGTGTAGAAGTTGGGGGAGCTTTGCTGTGTAAGGATTGAGCTCTTTTAAATTAATTATTTTTCTTTGACAGATGTGTGCCATAAACTCGCTGAGAATATTTTTGTGGTGAAAGTCACCCCTCTGCATAGGTCTGGAGTTAGCCCCGCTGCACAGAGCCCTTATAAATAGAGTCGTCCTTAAAAGCAGCAAAGGAAGATTCTTATTATAAAGCAGCAAGCAAATTATTACAGCCTGTGGAGCCTACTTTTAAGCACTAATGATATAAATTCCTTCTTCCTTACAGAATGATTCTATCAACCAGCAGCTTGCAGCCATCTTCACCCACTGCTACGGCAGCAGTCCTATACCCAACATTCCTGAAATACAGAAGACGTTGCCGGCCCGGCTTGGTGAGATACTCAGTTTTATCTCAGTTTCCACAGTGGTTTTGCTTTTTCTCTTTGCCGTGCTGCAGCATTTTAAACCCCCCCCCCCCCATCTTTATTTCCAACAGATCCTCACTTTCTAAACAATAAAGAAATGTCTGATGTAACTTTTCTAGTGGAAGGAAAGCTGTTTTATGCACACAAAGTCCTGCTGGTTACTGCTTCCAACAGGTGAGTCAGCCTCCATGAACTACACTGAGTAACTGCAGCTGTGTTATTTATGTTAAATGAAGATTAGTAATGGAGGACAGGGGCCCATAATCCCTTACTCAGATGAGCAGCCCTTAATCACCAATAGTCTCAATGGGGCTACTGGCATGAGTAAAGGCTACTCACTTGAGTTTACATGCCCAAGCCACAAAACTTTTAGAGCCAGATTCTTTGCCTACGCTCAGACCATTAGAGAGTGGGGTAAGGCCTGATTTTCTACCCAGTCCCAATACAGGTTAGAACAAGGGGGCTGCTCTGATATGTACTAGCAGTTAATGTTTTCTAAGGAACTGTTCAACAGCTGAGCGTAGCTTGCTCTGGCCACTTCTTTCCACCCCTCCATGCCTCTCACCCCCCACTGCATTCAAGGCTGAGGGAAGGACAGTGTAGGAGCCAGCTATTCTAGCTCTGTACTTACTGGAGCCTGCCTCACCCCAGGGAAGTCCTCAGCAAAAGTGTTAAGGCCAGATTCTGTCCTCTTTTGCACCCCAGGAGCAAAGGGGAGTGAGGGAGGTAAAGAATGTGGCTCCTTAGCACTGTGTACCTTGGTGGTGGTGCTTTTTTTTTTTTAAACAAAATACTCTGAATCCCCAATATATTTTGTCCTTGCTCCTCCCATGGAGATATTGTTCAGTTGATTCTATTATAGGATCAGTTATTTGCTTTTAAAATTAATATTAATGCAGTGTACAATTCTCAGGATTTGATTCAGCTCTGTGTCACTCCAGTTTTATGTGAATCTAACGCTACTGATTTCAGTGTAATTAGAGCACCTTAAAGCTGCAGTAACATGGGAGTGAATTCAGTCCTGTGGAGTTTACAGTTTAGTTGCTGTTAAAGATAGCATAGCATAGAAGCATAGAATATCAGGGTTGGAAGGGACCTCAGGAGGTCATCTAGTCCAACCCCCTGCTCAAAGCAGGACTAATCCCCAGACTGAAATTTGCCCCAGATCCCTAAATGCCCCCCCTCAAGGATTGAACTCACAACGCTGGGTTTAGTAGGCCAATGCTCAAACCACTGAGCTATCCCTCCCCCCGATGGAAACCTATTGATTGATTGTTTTGGAAAATATCAAGTATAAATGCAAATACACTAGGACCAAGATTCTCCAGTTCCCCTTTGCTTACTGACGACTAATCCAAGCAAAGATGATGCAGAGTGGCAAAAATGCAGGAATCTATTAAGCAAACTTCTGTCTCCATTTTCTCAGGTTTAAGACTCTGATGACCAATAAAACAGAACTAGACAGCCAAGGCAGTAAGACTGTTGAAATTAGTGATATGAAATACAATATTTTCAAGGTATGTAAATTATGTGCATCCTTACCATTAGCACTGTTTGTCTCCTCCTGTACTTACTGTGACGCAAAGGCTACAAGTTTTAATGCCAGAGATAAATGATAACAGCAGCACTTGGTCTAATTCAAGTATCTCTGCATTTTTAGGTGTGTTCTGATCTGCATCCAAACTTGTCAGCTTGGGCCTAGCTCTGAAAAGAATACGATTGGATTTTTTTTTTTTAATGCAGCTGATCTCCTTCATAAAGGAGGACAAATGAGGTCTTTTATTGAGTACTTTTTTATAGTTCTGGAAGTTCCCAGGCACAATTTTCATGCTGTGTTAAGCAAAAAAATAAGCCTGGTTAGAGCCAGAGAACTGCCAGGCTTCACATTAATTCAGATCAGACTATCAGAAGTCTATGGGGCTCTCTTTAAAGACTTGACATTGAGAATTCCACTTTTACTTTTGTTGATGTTTCCATATTGAAGTGACCTGAGGGAGGTTCATTCATGATGAAAAGAGGGTAGGTTTAAAAAAAAAATAAAATAAAAAAAGGCAGGTCAGTGAAATCCAATAGTCAGGCATTGTTCCAGCTTTCCAGATCTGCATTTCAAATTAGAAAGGAAATGTGCAGAATACAGAAATCTGAAAGTGCAGAACTGCTGAAAGTCTAACTGTTTCACTAAAGTGTTTAGGACTCATCTTGGCTTTCTCCCTCACAATTTCTCTATATGGTCATCACCACATAGTATCTCTGCATCCAATGGGAATAATTTGAGCATAAAAACATCCCTACTGCTCTATCCCAAGAGGGTTTCCTATGTTTTGTATTTGAATTGAAAAGTCTGTATCCAAGCTGTGCAGCTCAGGCCCATGACCTGAAGAGAATAAAGTTGAGTGTATTAAGGCAGGTCTCCTTAACATAGCACAAAGAAGATCTTTGATCAATGGGCTTTTGTGATTCGGGAAGCTCCAAGGCATGATTTTCAGGCTGTGGTGTTTGCAGTGTCATAGACCCAAAGGGGGCAGGGAGAGGATTTTGCCTCTCTGGACAATGTGGTAGATTGAAAAGTAATACACTGAAAGCCGTAAGAAATGACCACTAAAGGTGGCCTTCTAACGAAGTAGAGAGGGAGCAGATGTGTGGGGAGACTTTGGGGCACATTTAGAGGACACGAGATTACCTACTAAAAGTGGTATCATTTTCACTGTTTAGGGGAGAGAGTTTTGCCTAGTGGATAAAGTACTAAACTGAGATTCAAGAGCCCTGGGTTCTGTTCAGCAGCAGGCACAGGGATCAGGTTTTGCTAGAACGATGGGACCCTGACTGCAGCTGCTTGGCACTACTGCAATATAAATAGTAGTAAATAGGATGACCTTGGTTTTCAAGTGAAAAATCAGTTCCCTGATAATGGGCATGGGGAAGGGGCAGGAGAGGGGTTTTGGAACAGTAGGGAGGTGAGCATGGGAGGGTGAGAGAGGAAAGGCTGACCAGGCCTGTCTCCTCAGCCAACCCCCCCCCTCTATTTCCCAGCCCCAAACCTCCCAGCTGAAAGACTTGTGGCAGGGGGAGGCTTATTGGAAGCTCTAGGGGAGGGCAGTGTGTCACCATCTGGCAGGCCCTACTGTGCACATGCACTAAGCTAGCCTACCACCAGTTTCACTGCCTGGCAGCTCCTGGGTGTGGCTAGCCTGCAAAGCGTTACAAAAAACAGGACCCCTGCGGAGTTTTTACAGGGGCCTTGCAGTTGCTCAGAGACACATTGTCACCCTTGGCCTAAATTCCTTGATGTGGCCCCCTTCAAAGCCAGAGAAAGAAAAGAACATTGGAAAGCAGCACAGCCAGACCATTAGAAAATGTCAAAGCTGTTATGAAGACCCACGGGAAGCTGGAGCTGCAATTTCTGTTTGCTTCCTAAGGGCAGCATGGGTGTTCAAATTCCAATGTGTACTGACTGACAACAGCTTCAGGCCTGGCCCTTTTCCCATTTCAGATGCTGATGCAGTATTTATATTATGGAGGAACAGAATCTATGGAAATTCCCACAGCTGATATCCTAGAGGTGAGAACGTTTTCTTCCAAATGCAGTCAGGGATGATGGGGCGTGGAAGCCAGAAGAAGCTAGAGCTTTGAAAGGAGGAGATGCTTTCAAAGCACATAGTCAATACTGCTTGACAAGTGCCTGCTGGGAAAGATGAGAGCAGCTACCAGTGTTTTTATGGGACGTGTCATGTGGCTGCTTTATGCACACAGAAAAGTGTTAAAACACCTAGTATTCTTTTAGGAGAAAATAAGGAATTGTGGAAGGTGAGATGTGGTTTTGGGTCATCTGAAATAGGAAGCAATTACTACTTCAGATGGCTTATGCAGAACAAGGGGATCTGTGTGTAGATGTGGTCGCCCCATCTCAAAAAAGATATATTGGAATTGGAAACGGTTCAGAAAAAGGCAACAAAAATGATTAGGGGTATGGAATAGCTGCCGTATGAGGAGAGATTTAATAAGACTGGGACTTTCCAGCTTGTAAAAGAGATGACTTGGGGGGGGGGGGGAATAGAGGTCTATACAATCATGATGGGTGTGGAGAAAGTAAATAAGTGTTATTTACTCCTCCTTATAACACAAGAACTAGGGGCCACTAAATTAAATTAACAGGCAGCAGGTTTAAAACAAACAAAAGGAAGTATTCCTTCATACAATGCCCAGTCAACTTGTGGAGCTCTTTGCCGAGGAGGTTGTGAAGGCCAAGACTATAACAGGGTTCAAAAAAGAACTAGATAGATTCATGGAGGATAGGTCTATCAATGGCTATTTGCCAGGATGGGCAGGGATGGTGTCCCTAGCCTCTGTTTGCCAGAAGCTGGGAATGGGCAACAGGGGATGGATCACTTAATGATTACCTGTTCTGTTCATTCCCTCTGGAAACCAGGAGGCGCACAAATTTAAGAATGCAGGAAGGCGCTTGCTACCTTCATTCAGTGCTGTACTCTGAATAATGAAAAGAGGATGCTATGCGTATTCTTCCTTATTGGCCTTTCTGCTCTCACAGGAGGGCTAGCCCTCAAGAGAAGGAGTTAGAAGATCCTTTGAGGAGGGAATGTAGTTTGATTTTGAAAAACATCTCTCTTGTCCCAATAGCTGCTGTCTGCCGCCAGCCTGTTTCAACTGGATGGCCTCCAAAGACACTGTGAAATCTTATGTGCCCAGACCATCAGCATGGAGAGCTCTGTTAACATCTATAAATATGCAAAGGTAAAGGCCGAACTGTCTTGTTTAGACCCCACAAACGCCTAGGAACACAGGCACTTCACATGCTTGCTGCTGTGTGGTATTTTGGACAAGAGTCATGGTGCACGATGATGCAGGCATGCTCTGGCTGGGCCAATTCTGCGCTAAATTTGCTTGCAAAATGAGAGTTTGTATCCAATCTGTAATTTAATATAAAGGACCCAACATGTGTTACCAGTAGGAACATAGAGGAGCAGTTCAGCATTCCTGGAAGTCAGCAGGAGTGTGGGATGTAGTAGAGAGGCAGGAGCAGGCTGCTAAAGATTACATCAGAAAATATTTAAACATGCTATTTTAATTTTACTTCCTGTTAACGTTTTTGCATTATGTCAGTCTAGTGTCACTACACAGTTTCAATGTTGGAATCTCCTGCACTTGCCCAAGGCTGCTGTGTTTGGGTTCCCAACAGCCAAGGGGAAACTATTCCAATGTAAATTGAGTTCCTTACATTACTTCCATAAAAAATTCTATTCCTGTTAAGAACCCCAAAACCTTTGGGAGTTTCTAAATGTTGGGCATAAAATTCATTGCTTTTCCCCTCATTGTAGTTGTGTCTTCTCTGATGATGCTGAACTGGATGTAACTAGGTAAATAATTACTGGGAGAACCAAAGGAGACTATTTAGAAGCTATAGAGCCAATGGGACAATCTGAGGCACGGTATTAGAGTGGCTCTTCCCCATCTCATTCTGCGCTTTGGTCTAGGAGTGAGCATTCGATCATATACACCATATTTCCATGGCTACTCATATTACATACCAGCTGGCAAGATTCCTTTGTTGTGTCATGATGCAACACACAGACTCCAGGCTCACACAAAACAGGTATCTTGGCCATTTCATCAGCCAGCTGCTCTTTTCCTTGAAGAGCCACTGGACTGTGGCTCAGGTAACAGCAGGAGATCAGAGGATTAGAAATAAAAAATTTACTTTATCGCCTGGAAAATATCCCAGTAGGATGAACCTCTCTGGTTGCATGCATGCACACAGGGAGAGGAAAAAGAGAGTCATTCATAGCACGAGTGTCCTTTCCATTAGCATTTACCAACTACATAATTACGTACATACCCCTTCCCTTAACAGTCCTTTGTTTTGCAGGCATCCTGCCCAATGAAGCTGTCAGAGGGAAAGGGCTTAGTAGTGGCAGCTGTGAAAATGTGCTTTAATCTGTAAGGCTCACAGAGAAGGTCACTGACTCCTGTTCTATTTTACAGATTCACAGTGCACCTGAACTGGCCTCGTTCTGCGAGGGCTTCTTCCTCAAACACATGAACTCTCTGCTGGAACAGGACTCGTTCCGACAGCTCATCTATGGCAGGAACAGCAAGGTGCAGGGTCTGGACCCTCTGCGGGACCTGCAGACAACACTGGCCAGTCGACTGCATTCTATTTACATCACTTCAAGAGTGTGAGGCGGGGGCAAAGCAGCAGCAGGAACACTAGGGCATCCAGGTCTGTCTTATGGAACCACCGGCTCATGCTGAAAGTCCCCACAAGCTGACGCCCTTAGAGTAGTGATTTCTCTGGGGAGCGTGTTAGGGTGCTGCAACAAATCTAATGACAAAGGCGAGGAGGTGGCTTTTTTCTTCTGTGCTGCACAGCATCAGAGCGATACCAGGACAGCACCAACAGGAAAAACTGAAGCAGCAACTGAAGAACCTGGCCCGAAAAGCGGATCTACGCTGCCATTTTCATGAGCACAAGGTGAAAGCTGCTAGGGAAACAGAGTGCAGATGCAGTGGAGTGAGGCCTAACATTGGAGGTGTTTCTAACATGCTAATCTAAACCATCTACCTACAAGCACCACTGGTGTATATACAAGGGTGTGTTGATAGTCCTCTAATCTCACGAACTTCTGAGCATTCAGTCACCTGACTAAAGGCGTATAGTAGTTAGCACACTCAGACTACCACTGTAGCTATAAACACCAGTTTTACACATGACAAAAAACTCTAGCATTACTTCCCATAAATTCTTTGCACCTTAAGACGTACCTTCTCTCAGCCTTATGGGTTACAAAGTGTGAGAGACTAAAATAGGCCTCTACAATTATCTTTTTTCAGTAGCACCTACTTTGAAGAGTTTAGCCAAGTTTTGATCTACTTGTCTGTGTTCAGTGGTGGCCAATTGGAAAGAAAATAGCCTATCCTATTTACACTGTAAAGGTTTGATCAAATGTCTTGTAGTGTCCAAGTCATCCCCTCTTTAACCGTCTGGGAATGGCACATGGAGCACTCCTGCATGATTAATGCAATAAGAGGCGGTTTTCAAAAATGCTGTGGCAGGAGGTACAGTAAAACCTATTGCTGTGTTGAGGGGCCTACGTCCTAGTATTGTGTGTACCACCTGGACTCCCGTAAAGCCAAGCAGAAATGTACAGCTCATTATTCCTTGATGCTGTACTCTCTCATGCTGGAGGTGGCATGGTGTAGAGAAACATGGATGAGAGGAAGGCCTGACGCCTATGCTGGCTGACACAAACTTGTGGCCTTAGGCAAGTCAGTTCTCTCTACAGCTGTGGAGATGGAAGTAATGGGGATACTGCCTCATCTACACTACTTCCTGGGGCGGGGAGGGTATACTGCATAATACTTGCACACCTTTGCTCTCTATGTCTAGGAAACATTGAGGTTGCAATACTTAAAAACTAGATACTTCAACCCTAGCACCTAAGATTCACCATGTTTTCTTAGACGTTTCTGCCCTTTGTAAGCTATCAAACTTTAAAAAAAAAAAAAAAAATACAAGCACAGGCCTTAGAAACAAAGATGTAAGGTGATAGCAGGATGAGTGGACATCAGTCACCATTAGCTATAAAACACCCCCTACAACCATTCCCCCCCGGTCTGTGTTAACACATATGGAAAGCATTAGCTAAAATGCTTCATTTTAGGCTGCTGGGGGGAGAAAAAGCTTTCAATGTCCAGTTAGCATTTCTTAGCAATCTGAACAATGAAATGCTAAACACGCTGAGGGGAGACGGCTCAGGCTCAGCTGAAAAGAAGAGTCAGGAAAAGAAGGTTTGATGGAGGAGGGGAAAAGGGCAGATTGCAGCATCTCCAGTTAATTGGTCAAAACCTGAGGCCCCCACAGGATTGCAAGTCGCAGGTGGATTGCATGACATGAGTGTGCTTGGCTAGTCAGGGATCTATAAGCCTATAGACTATCAGTTGGAAATTGGCTGGGAGCACCAGTTGGTCTGACTTGTGTTATAAAATATACAGTTTTGAAGAGCACCAGCTTCATTAACCCTATTTATTCTTAGGGAGCCAGAGGCTCTTCCAGCTTTATCACTGAAAGAAACCCCAAAAAGGCCATAGACTGGAATATATTTCAAAGAGCTGCTCCAGCTATCTGTACAAAAGCATAGGTCTAGTTTTATTGCTGTAATATTGTCTGTTAACTGTACATTGTCATTTATGTAAATGTACCAGGATTTTGCTAACAATGTAACATTTATGCTTTTGAGTTTTGACTCAGTTATGAGGGGCTGTAAGGGGGTGGGATGAGCTGTGTGTGTGAACATGCATGGTTAGGGAGCACACTGTAGGACAAAAGGGCAAAGTATGGCCTTGCCCACACTAGGATTTTAGCATATTAGATTGGGAGGTGAGGGGGAGCATTTACCACATGGTAACATTTTTCCACTCATGAAGACAAGGCTGGTCTGTACTTTTACCTGTGTGTGTGTGTGTAGGGACAGGTGTGCCATTTACCTTTCATAAATTGGAATAGGTCTGAAAATGGGGTGTAGGAAGCATGTTTTTCCTGCCACTGTCCAAGAAGGTACAAGGGGAGTAGAGGGAAGGAGTTTGGGTTTCTACCTCAGGTAACATGAGGGGATTTGTCTTTCTTGCCTGAGACTCACTCACATTTTAGAGCACTTAAGTTATTGTCAAACAGGGAGAAGGGGAATTAGAAAAAAAAATCTAAATAATTTTCTTCAGGAAGCAACAGAGAGTCCTGTGGCACCTTTAAGACTAACAGATGTATTGGAGCATAAGCTTTTGTGGGTGAATGCCCACTTCATCTATTAGTCTTAAAGGTGCCACAGGAGACTGTTGCTTTTTACAGATCCAGACTAACACGGCTACCCCTCTGATACTTTCTTCAGGAAGAGACTGAGGTAGGGCCTTCTTTCATAGCAGCTATTTCTCTCCTCTTTCAGCTCTTTAGAGCCCTCTTAAGTGTCTCAGGGAAGGGAGTGATGCTGTGGAAATCCTCAGCAGAAGCCAGGCTGTAAGGAAAATGGTTTGATGACATACATTTGGGCTTCTCAGCCAAGTTGGCTATGTAATTACTGTAGTAACCTAGCAGAGGAGATAGTGGGCAAGTCTCAGCTGAAGATGGACAGATTTTCCTGGGGGCCCATTTTACTCAAGGAAATGGAATAAATAAGTTCAAGTATTTCCCTCAGGAGGTTGCCTGGCTACCTGTTCTAGTCTATGCAAATCAAGGACTGTCCATGGGCTGTCTGGAGAAGCACAAATCTTCAAAGGAAATACACAGAACATACATCTCACTGGGGTGTCCTTTGTTGAGTTTCAGGGGCTTGGAGACACTCAAGGGCTGCTTTCTCCAGGCTACAGTAAAGCTTGTGCTAAACTTCAGAGTAAACCTTTGCACAGCAAAGATGAAACCCCAGTTGCCATGGTGCCCTAGTGCTAACAAAATGGAATATGCCTAGTTCAGGCTCCTTGTGTGCTTTCCTCATTTGCACATGTGGAACAGCTGGACAGCTTTCTAAAGAGGCTTCTGTTATGCAATAGAATCAAGGAAAACAAGGTGATTTGCCCCGTGGGTTGGAAGCTTTGTTTAAATATGGAATCTACCTTATTACAGTCTTAGACGTGGTGACTTAAGGAAAAATTCCTGACAGATGCACCGCAGTACCTAGAATCAGTTGTCCCAGTGAAGCGAAGACCCAGCTAGACAAGAGTTTGATTGGGTGAGGAAGCACTATGTTTTCCCCCATGGGGAGCAGAGGGATAAGTTGCCTTATGTTGGGGGTACATCCATGCTCCATTTAGTCATAACAATATAAACCCCTTTGTATAAGACTGGCTAATGATGTATTACAGGGCCAAAGCTCACATGATCCTCTGGGACTCTGTTGGCTCTCAAGCACTCCCTTCAATGCCCATCTCCTACACTAGAGCAGCCATGGAAGACAAAACGTTTGGAGACAGGGCCAGTCCATAGTGCCTGGTCTGACATTTCACAGATGGGGTGCTCGTGCTGCAGAAGCAGATGCAGGGATTTCATGCAGCTTGTCAGAGACAGGGATTATTTCCAAAACTAGACTGCAAATGCAGATTTCAGAGCAAAACTCCTCCCACCCCCACTGTAGTCAGTGTCATTCAGGCCACCTCTGGGCTGGTATTGATCTCAACCATTAAGCCCCTTTAGAGCCCCTCCGCTAGATTGCTGGCCTGGTTTACAGAGCAGTCACAGCCTATTGCCCCCGCAGCTGCACTCAGCAGGAGTGGCAGGTTATTAGACCGAGTGAAATTCTCACCTCGCTTTGCTCCGTCTCCCAGGGGCTCCCACAGCCCAGAGAGGGGAAAGGATTTTACATCTCAACTGTCACCTCACTTTCAGCTCAGCTTTGCTCTGAGCCAGGGGAGGCCCTTTTTTGTTGACTGCCAGCCTCTGGCCCCTGCCTCCACAATGCTGCTCTCACCCTAACATAGTTTCCAGCTACACACACCTTGTGGAAAATGAGTCTAGGTGCATTACCAATACAGACGCAGCCCTATGATTATGGGGTCTAGATGTTCAGGGAGCCTAAGGATACACTATCACAAAACCTAGATGGAGGAGAGGATTAAGGACCAACAAATTTCACCGCTTTTACCTTGCCTTCTCCAATACCAACAGGTACACTTACATCAAACAAACCCCCCCATATACCATCAAATCAATGCACTCCGATGCACATGCTTCTCCCTCTGGTAGGAGGAGATAGGCCTGCAAGCTGTCATTGTCTGGTCAGCTGACCCCCTATTTGCCCACAGTCAAATAACTATTCCAGCAAGAACATGCTGGTGTAGGCCGCAGCCCACCATTCAATTGTAGCATGGGGCTGTTTTCATTTTTTAGAACTTGTTTCATTGTTTTGCATTTTACCTAACTTAGTTAAGTAAATTTTTTTTTTTTTTTAGCAATTAGACACGAGTGTGTATCTAAGGCTACACCTATTCGAGACCATAAAATATTGCTCTTTTTGTTACTGTTCTAAGAAGTTAGTGCTCTAAATATTTAACCATATAACTGACCAATTATTTTTGGTCCAGTCAAATGCCCAACCCTAGGATGAGACACCAAGCGCCGTGACACAGATCTGCAGCCATGCTGCTTAACACCCTACTGAAAGGCACTCAGATATTATAGGAATGAGTGTGGAATAAAAACAGCTACAGAAGAGAATAAAGATGCTTTCCCCTCCTTCCCACCCTTACTATATGCATTGCTATTTGAGCCAGAGGAGCTCCCTACTCTAGCACCTTGCTCACATTCAGGCCTCAGGGCCATGGGGACTCACCTCCTGTAGCTAGAGAACAGGCCAAAGGAGCACCCTGGCAGATCCTCAGCTCCCCCCTCACCCACCACCCACATTCACAACAACGGCACCAGTTCTGTTTCCTCTCCACCCAAGCTACCTCTCCTAGAGGTCAGGTAGGTCACTCCAGCTGTCAAAATAGCTCATAGGTCTCCAAGAAGGCAGGCTGATTCCACTGACAACTAGGTCATGCCTATCCACCTCCTGCTGAGAGCTGCTCAGTTCATACATGGCTTTGCCATTTCCTTCCAATTAGAGCACTCACTCATTGCAGGCTGACAGTCACTGCTGCACACAGGGGAGAGAGATCTACAGCAACAGCTCAGCTCCTGCCTTGACATGCTGGGCCAAGGCACCAGGAGATGGCTTTGAACCAGAGGAGGACTGGGCTTGAGGCTTTAACTGTGTTATAGAGACATGGTCTGACAGCCCTCACACCAAATGCATTACAGGAACTGTCAGAACTGAAGGGGAGAGAGGGCTACTGGAGAAGCATGTGCAGTTCAGCTGGCATGGCCCTCTGCTATAAAGCACATGCAGAAAAGGGACTGAATGTCTGATTCTTCTGGGTGTCCATAACGCCCTCCACTGGTGAACACATGCACAGAAAGAGTAACAGGAAAGCACTCTGCTCCTGGACATGAATGTTAAGGGCTTTTTTTGGGGGGGGGGGGGGGGGGGGAGAGAAGAGAGAGGACCTTTACTTTTGTCAGTAAGAAAAACAGATCCCATTCTATCGTGTGTGCTCAGAGATGAGTTGGGGGGATGGGTCAGAGAATAGGCCAGGGTACAATGGCCAGGTGCTGGCAAGGAAGAGGGACCATTAAAGTCAGAGTTTAAAGGGAAACACATAAGCCAAAGAGAGGAATTGAGTTTCTGAAGCCACTAGATAAATGGAAAATTCCTTTATAAATGTCACACCAAGAGTGTGAGCTAGGGACTAGAGAGACGGTAATGGGAGGCTATTTAGAAGCGCAGAGAGATAGTGGTGAAGCAACAGATTTCTGACCAAAGAGGCCCTGGGCTCTAATTTTGGAGGAGACACTGTAGCAGGGCCGGCTATCCAGGTGACCACCCGGGACACTGTGGTCAAGTGGGAGGTGCACACTGTCTCTGTGGAGTCAGAAGCTGCTCCTGACTAACGAGGTGCTGTGTAGGGGGTGCCCAGATTTCTCCCTTA